TCGGCAAAGCCCCCAGGGCATTTCCACATCCCTGTTCCTACATCTGTCTGGGGACAGGTTCTTGGGAGTCTCCTGGGACTTCTCTGCTGAGACCCACCTGCTGCCATTTTTATTTCCTTACTGCGCTGTTTGGTCACTGCCTTTGATGGGGGTGAGCCACTGGGACACTCCCCCTCTTCCAGGCAAAAGTGGTTCATCTTGGGACCAGCAGTTAGCGTAATGGCTATGTCGCTGGACTCCCATGTAGTCGACCACGGTTCGCGTCCCGGACCCGGTGGCTTAAAACTCATGCCGGGCGCGTGTGCGTGCGTGCCCAAGATCCCGAGAGGAGAATGGATGAGAAGGGATTGCCATGTGGCCATCCCCCCTGGGGGGTGATTTCTCGCTTTCTGTCTCTCTGTCTCTCTCTGGATCCCCCTTCTCCCATAACCTTGGACTTGGCCCACTGACAGGGCAAGGCGAAGGGCTCCCCTCCGGGGGTATGTCAGAATCCCTCTCTGAGTCCCCCTCCCCTAGACAGTTTGGAGAATGCTCATTCAGTCCTTGTCTTGTTGTGTCAAGTGGGCACAGGAGAGGGGAGGGAGTAAAAAGAAAAACTGGTTCAGCAAGTTTCATTGCAAATTTTTTGGCCTGAAATCAAACAGAAACTCAGCTTTTTCTTCCCTGGCGACCAAGAATTTGACATCTTTGTTATCTGGTCCCATCAGCTGTTTGTTAGATAGCTTACCCCTTGGGCCATGTTGTGTTCGAGTTGAACTCCCTGGGCTGTGGGGAGGGCTTGGGATACACATGGAGAAATTCACAAAAGACTGGCTCTTTGGTGTAGCGGTAATACACTGTTGGATCCCCTATGGTGACTGGTTCAATCCCTGGCCCAGTCAGCCTGAAACCTGCCAGGCATGTGCACAAATGACCAGGATCCAACAGGCTGGAGGGCTGGAGGCAGGAGATTCCAGCCTGACCAGACTCTGTAGAGGGTGCTCCTCTCTCTCTCTCACTCGTGTAAACACACACCCTATCATGAATAAAGGGGGGGAAATGCTAGAAATTCTAGAGTAGAGAGAAAAACACCAAGCCACCTGGAGCATCTTCTGGCCACATGAGACAGAAGTGTGCATGAAGACACGTTTTCTAGTTTACAAAACATGTATTCTTAGAGTGCTTTCCATTTTTTTGAGATAAATCCTTTTCCACATCTTTACTCATTTTAACCCATTTTTTTTGCTTGTGTTTTCCACAAACATTTGAAAGTAACTTGAATGACAAGTTCTTTATGTCAATCCTCTAGCGTGTTTCTCCTAGCCAATCGGGGAGCAGTCTTCCGTATTTATGGTACAATGATGGAGTTTGGGAAATTTCATACTGATACTTTTTTTTTTCAGAGAGATTTTTGCTATAGAGCGTGTGCGCTCGTGAGAAAGACAAGAGAGACAGAGAGACAGAAAGCGAGAAATCACCCCCCAGGGAGGATAGCCACACCGCAATCCCTTCTCCTCCATTCTCCTCTCGGGATCTTGGGCATGCATGCACACACACCTGGCATGAGTTTAAGCCACTGGGTCTGGGACTCAAACTGCGGTCGACTACACGAGAGTCCAGCGACATAGCCGTTACAACTGCTGGTCCCCATACTGACACATTTTAAAACACACATTCCTTGGGGTCAGCTGGTGACACAGTGATTAAGGCACTGGACTCCCACATGGTCAATTGTGGTTCAAGTCCTAGACCCAGAGGCTTAAAACTCAAGCCAGGTGCATGTGTGTAAGTGCCCAAATCCCAAGAGAGGAAGAGATTGAGGTGTGGCCATCCTCCCCCCACCCCCCGGGGTTGCGATTTCTCACTTTCTGTCTCTTTATCTCTCTGTCCCTCTGGTGAGCGCACACGCCCAATAGCAAAATTCTCTCACACAAAACACACTTCTATATTCAAATTTCTCTGATCATCCCAGTATTGTCTTGTATAGCATCTTTGCCAGTCCAGTATCCAATTCAGATCATCATGAATTACATTCTTTGTCTCATGTCTTTATTCTCCATTAATCCAAAATAGTTCTGCAGGGTTTCTTTTATGACATTGAGATTTTTATGTTTTCTCCCCTTTGTTCATTGCCAGAGGGTACACACACTAGAGGAGAGAGAGAGAGAGGAGAGAAAGAGTATCTCCCAATGGTATATCCCACAATCCTTTTTCCTTCACTTCTCCATCCCATCGGGATTTGAGGCAAGCACACACACATGCCCCGTGTGCCCGTCAAGCTACTGGGTCAAGGGTTTGAACCATAGTTAGTCATGTGGGATCTGGCTCCTTATGAATAGCACTTCATTGCTGTGCTATCGGGCCAACCCTGCAAGCCTGACATTTTGTTAAGGGTACACTGACATTTTTAGTGTGCCTTGACATGTTATCACATGGTCCTCACTCTGCCAGCCTCCTGATTCAGGCTTTGCATTTGTGGGAGGAACAGCACAGTAGTACACATTCTCTCCAGAACATCAGACAGCTTGGTACAGCTTGGCCCATTTGGGGTAACGTTAAACTTCACTTCAGAGTGGTGTGCCGCAGACTTTTCCATTGCAAAGCTATATCTTTCCTCCCTCTGTAAATTGATTAGCATTTCATGAGAACAAACCATGGGTGTAAGCATCCTACTACCCAACAGATTCTTACCCAATGGTTTAGTATCCATTCTTGTCTGAATTCGTTATTTGCTTTATGGCTGCATTATGGTGGTCTTCTAATGCTGTTGCCCCTTCTGTGTTTATCACTTGCCATTCTACTGTAAGGAAGAGCTTAGAGGAATGCATTCTAGGGGGTTCTCATTTCTCATTTACTCTCCTCTTTGAATGCCTTCCCTCTTAGCAAAATTCTGCTTGTCCAAAGCCTTCTTAAACCCTACTGTGCAGATAAACCTGCCCACTCTATCTCTCTGTTTCCTGCAAGCAAGGTGTTTGCAGCTGTCTGGCCTTCTCAGAGTCCCCTCAAGACAAGAAGAGGGTGAAAGGGGAAGGACCCATCCCTCTCAGGGCAGAACTTCCACCCAAAGTTCATTGGGTTTAGTGCAATGCTTTTGTTGTTTTAATTGCCAGAAGACATGAGAGAGAGAGAGAGAGAGAGACAAGGCACCCCTCAAGGGTGCTATTTAGTAACTCATCCCACAGATGTGTTCACATGTCACAGTCACATCCATGCAGTCTTTCCTTCACAGCACTGAGAGAGCAAAAAGGGGGAACTAATTTAGCAACCATCAGTAGGGAACGGTGGCAGGAACTCACAGGGCAACGTGAGCCAAAACTGACTCAGTCGTTCCTTGGTATCCATGAGGGAGTAGTTTCAGGACACTCCTTCATGGGAACCAAGACACAAGGGTGCTCAAGTCTCTTAGCCAAAATGACATAGTATTTGCATATAACTATGGACATCCTTTAAACCAGCAGTCACCAACCTTCTTGGCATCAGAGACCTGTCTCATAAAGGACAAGGTCTCCACAGACGGGATGAGGATTGGTCCCAGGATGTCCCCAACACACCACTTCCACTGTGCACCCCATTCCCACCTAGTACCATGTTGCAACACACAAGGAAACAGTCACACAGTAGGGTGCAGGGTCCCAGGAGAAACCAATACCTCTGCTGATCCGACTGGAGGTGGAGCCCCAGGTAGTGATGTGAGCAAAGGGGAGTGGCTGCAAACACAAAGCTTTGCCCGCTTGCTGTGCACCCCCTGCCATGCAGCCCAGTGGACTGGCACTGGTCCACTCCTGCTTTGAACCATCTCTAGACTACTTTTAATACCTAACACAGTACAAATGCTATGTAAAGTTGTTATATTATTTTTATTTGTATCAAATATTTTCAATGAACAGTTGGCTGAATCCACTGATGTGCAACCAACAGATATGGACGACTGACTCTATTCACAGTGGGCGTGTGTGGACACGGAATAGTATGCAGCCCTGAAAAATGAGGGAGATAGGAGGTTCTGATGGGAAAGTTGTTGAAGGCATGGTATTTGTTAAAAGAAAGGGAGGCTATAACAGTAAGAATATGCTTTCCATTTACTTTCCCCCAAAGAGCTAGAGACCTTCAAGTCTTACAATCAGAGATCATGTCCTCAATGACAACATGAAATCAAAAAACAAATCAGAATGCCAGAGTGGTTGCCATCATTTGAACTTATTTTATTGATGTCCATTAGCGAATAAAATTTTATTGTTGATTTTGATGCATTCCAACACACTTTTTGGTAGTGGTTGCACAATGTTGATCATTTATTTATTTACTAAACTAAATGCTGCAGCCTCTGCACTGCCGATGTTTACAATGGGATTCCTGGCGATGCTGATGGGTGACTTCTCTTTCCGAATACATAAAAGTGGTCCATTCAGTCCATGGTTTCTGTATTCCTGGTATCCTACTCACTGCTTAAAAATACATTCAAATAAAAAGATATAAGTTACTTGCAGTGCGTGCACACATACAACAGCGAGGAGGGTTGAGAACATAATTAACCAACACTCTCGTGCTCAGAGAATAAATAGTCTGAAATCGTGGGACTGAAGCTGCTCACTGGGGACTTCTTCAAAGTACCTTCAGCAGATCGTGAAGTTACCCTCACTCCGCTGAAGGCTACCTCTTTTGTTGTGGGATGGGGTGAGGGGAACACACAGTGACAATTTCATTTACGCATGACGTGATCCTTCCAGAAACGTCTGGAACACGTGGTCACGGAACACCGTGACGTACAGTGCAGTTCTCAGATTACAATAAATAAAGGATCAGTTGGGATCGAGAGGCCACAGACAAGCTATGGCTCAGTCTGGAAGGAGAGAGGACGTTTGTTTAAAATACAGCACACGCAAACAATAAATAAAAGTTCAAAACAGAATCAGTGATCGCAACAGGACCAGGTTCCCCTGCTTGTTCTTTCCAGGACTAAGGATAAAAAGTGGCACAAAGAGGCGAAGGGCCTGGAGGGGAAGAAGATCTCCCACTGCGTGGCTGCAACAGCGGCTGCATGGGCGAGAGCGCGCTGACCCAGCCCGCGTTTCAGAGCCTGAGCCTGCTTCTCCGTGGGCCAGTCTAGCCTTACATTTGGCTGTAGGCCTCCCCCCTCACTTTTACCGTTGACAAATCTCTTCAAGAAGCTTTCCTCATATTCCCTCTCCTTTTTATCCTATTGTGACAGTTGTTTGGGTCTGGTCTGAAATCGATTTGGTTATGACACTGGGTCCCAGAAATAAGCCGCTCTCTCCTTAGCGGCGTGGTGTGTTGGACATTTGTGTTTTGGTGTCATAGAACCCCACAGAGAACATAGGTTCCCAGTACCATTACACCCCTGCATAGGCAAACACAAAAACAAAATGGAAAAAATAAAACAGGTCACACAGAACACGAAGGGGTTGCTGACCAGGACAGCGGGAGTGTAAATACATTCGGGTCAGACGTTCGGCCTGACAGCTGATTACAGAACAGGATGACTTCAAGTTGAAGGCATGAAAAGAAAGAATCACACGTGAAACAGACATGATCGTCCGTTGAGGCATTGTACTGCAGGTCTCGGAGAAGCTAGGCCACCCATACACGACAGAAAAGCTCTCCGATCATGAAACACTGTGACAACTGCAGGTGGCTGAGGACGGAGGCTCCTTACGCACAGAAGGCGCTGGCGAGGCGAGGTGTCCGGAGACACCCATGCGGCAGATGCATTACGACCCGTGCCACATGACAGCTTACGGTGTGGAACGCAGGCAGTCAGTCACGGAATTCACCGGTTTCCTATCCATGGGATAAGAACTCACGTTGGGAGTTTCAGTGCTTCTCAAAAGGAACGAAGAAAAGGGTGCCGCCTTCCCCCAGGTGAGCCCAGGTGAAGTCCTCCCGAGAGTGGTGACAGGACTGGGCACTTCCTGTGGGATCTGAAGAAAGGGCAGGGCAGATACGAGGTCTCCAAGTCCTATGTACACATTTTACAGTTTCCATCGACCCCAGTAGGCACCAGGTTGATTTATCTAGCTCAGGAGGGGGTGGACAGAGAAGAGAAGAGGGAGAGAGTGCACTGCAGGGGGAAGAGAGTGCGCCGGTCTCCCCAGGACAACGCCCCTGTCCTCACCGTAAGCTAGTTTGTTTGGGGAGCTTAGCACCCATCAAGATGCCCGAGGTGAGAGTCACAGGGGCTTTCATTTGCATGCTGGACCCCACCATGGTGGGGAAGCTGCGATTCCGCCGGATGCCACTGCTGAGCTGCAGACCACCAATGGCACTGGTGACCGTGGGGCATCCAAGAGGCAGGCCCTCGGGTACTGGACCTCTGGGGACAAGGGTTTGTGCCGGCCCTGGAGGCCCACAGAGGAGAGGTCCCTGATCCTCAGTCAAGGTGGGGATGTGAGCTCGCCCCGAGTCCACCACTTTGGCCACCCCAAACCTCCTGACTTTGTCCACGAGGTTGAGGTTGCAGACAGACACGTCCGTCTGGCTCTCGCTGCTCCGCATGTTCTTCTTCTCCCTCACCTCCCTCAGGATGGAGCTGGCCGGCTTGGAAGCCAGGAAGTTGTCGTAGGGAGGGCTGGTGCACTTGAACTCAAAGGAGGGCGGGGAGGACGTGGGCGTCTGCATAGGTGAGTTAGGCGGGGTGGACGGGATGACGGCCATCCTGGGCGTGTAGGCGTGGAGGAGGGAGCTCCGGCCGGCCCTGTCCCAGCTCTGGGGGTCATACACAGCCGCAGAAATGCCCCGCTCCTTCAGCAGCCACACCAGCCCCAGGGATGTGCTCATGGTGGTCGTGGACTCACGGATGTTAGTGAAGGATTCAGCCAGACTCAGTCTCCGTGGAGTGCATGGTGTGGCCACTGGTGTGGATTTCAGGTGGCTGGCGCTGCCACAAGCTGGCGTGGGGGCTGAGTTAAGGCTGAAAGGAAGCAATAGCAAGTTATTCCATCAGAAATGCCCACGAATGCCACAGAAAGGCTCGGTGGCCCATCTCCTATGGGGGGGTGCAGGGCAGGCCCAGCACATGTTGAGAGGACTCCCAGACCAGGGGACACCTCTGGGCCCCTGAGATGCCTCTGTCCATGCCTGCTCCTCCCTGTCACCCATGGGAGCCTTGTGTTCTCATAAACGAGGCTTTGTTCAGGGTAAGGAAGCTGCACTGGCTTCCCGCGGCTCAGGTCTGGCAGACGGTATCACCACCCCCTTTGCAGGTGAAGAAACAAGTCCAGGGACCAGCAGTTAGCGTAATGGCTATGTCACTGGACTCCCATGTAGCTGACCGTAGTTCAAGTCCCGGACCCGGTGGCTTAAACTCACAACAGGCGTGTGTGCGTGTGTGCCCAAAACCCCGAGAAGAGAATGGAGGAGAAGGGATTGGGGATTGGGGATTGTGGAGTGGCCATCCTCCCTGGGAGGTGATTTCTCGCTTTCTGTCTCTCTGTCTCTCTCTGTCTTTCTGGCGAGCGTACGCGCCCTATAGCAAAAACCTCTCCAAGGAAAAAGAAAAAGAAAGAAACAAGTCCCATGGGTAGGTGGTTTACTCAGGGTCACATCAGGCTATCCAGGGGACAATCCCAAATTCACATCCAAGCCTGAGTGACCCCAGGCTGTCAGAGGATAGGGGAGAGGGTCCTTTGGTAAAAGGCTTTTTTTCTCTATCAAATTCCACCATTCCCTCCTGATACCTAACTCATCCTTAACGTACAATGTTAACAAAGACTACGGCAGACAAGGCATGGCCACAGCGGTGGGCCAAGGCCAGGCGGCCCACACGTCAGTGGCAGCCCCCAGGACCAGGCTCCTTCCTCAGCACCGTGTTGCTCCTCTTCACGTTTATCCAGGTCAGTTCTGACGGTGCGCTACAGGGTCAGAGGAAGCCATGTCACATGCTAGTAGACCTACGCCTACAGGACTACTGCAGAAAAGGCCCACGGCATGTGTGAAACCCGGATTTCTAAAGAAAAGCAGAGATTCGTCCATTCACTTGTGCCAACCTGACTGCAGATCCCCTAAGTCCAGCAGCTGGTACCCAGCAATGGAGGCGACTGGGACAGTAAGTTTGCCAGGGGGGCAGTTTTCTGCTTAAGAAGCAGGAGAGGGTCTCTCTAAACAGCTCCAGGGAGGGAGGGAGACCCAGGGGACATGGAAGCCTCGTACTGTTCCTGAGCAAGCCACCCAGGGACAAAGCAGCACCTCCCTCCTAATCCACTCACGGGACCTGCCCTGCTGCCTGTTCAAGGATTTGGCTGGCGCTGGCATCCCAGCCCTCAGAGCGGTTAGCTGGGAAGTCCCGGGTGCTGGGGGATGGTGCCCTGTCTCCCTGCCCTGGCCAGGGGAGGCCCAGATACCTTGGGCAAAACAGCTAGGAGAGAGGGAGGGAAGAGGGCCCATTCTGGAGCAGGTCTTTGGAATGACCAGAGAAAGGGCCCCTCCCTGGGGCTTTCACAGGGCTCAATAAGTTCATCTATGAAAGAACTCCATGCTCCATTGGGAAGCTTTGGAGCAAAAATCCAACCCATTTGGCTGTAGGGCCTATAGTAGTGTCAGTTTTAGTTGGTTAACGAAGGGCCTAAAAACCAATTCCAAAGCAAGTCCAAGCAGGAGGCACCATTTGGCTCCACACTTAGGTCACCTCACCACTGGCTGGTCAGCACAGGGCGGAGACCACAGAATAGGCCCTCCTCAGACAAGCTCAGGAGTGGGGCTGCTGACAGGTCGGGAGTGCTCAGGGCAACATGAGATAAACCAAGGCAGATTACTAAGGTTAAAATCGTGGATGTCTCAAAAGGCACGGGTGCAATTTTACAAATGTCGACGTACACTCAACAGAGAGCAAAAAAGTCGTAGGCTTAAAACCCTTCTTACATAACCATTCCTGGGGAATTTGTAGATCTCCTTCAAGTTGCCTTCCTTTCAAATCCAGGCAACAAAAGAAAACAAGCCATCTCTTGCTACTGACTCCTCAGGCTTCTTTTTGTTCCCGTCAAAGGCCATATGGACTTCAAGATGAAAAAGTTGGCTCTCATAAAGCCAACCATGGTTCAAATCCCAGCCCTAGCAGTTTGAAAAACATTCTGGGCACATGTGCATGTGTGCCTAAGATCCCAAAAGGAGGCAGCAATGAGGGAGAAGGGATTACAATATGATCGCACCATATCGCAGAGGGGAGCTCTCTCCCTCTCCTTCTCTCCCTCTTTGTCTCTGGAGAGAGCACACACTCTGATAAATTTTTTTTAAAAAAAAGAAGAAGAGGGAACCAGCAGTTAGCGTAATGGCTATGTCGCTGGACTCCCACGTAGTCGACCGCGGTTTGCATCCCGGACCCGGTGGCTTAAAACTCACGCCAGGCGCGTGTGCGTGCGTGCCCAAGATCCCGAGAGGAGAATGGAGGAGAAGGGATTGCAGCATGGCCATCTCCCCTGGGGGGTGATTTCTCGCTTTCTGTCTCTATGTCTCTCTCTGTCTGTCTGGCGAGCGCATGCGCCCTACAGTGAAAATCTCTCAAAAAAAAAAAAAAAAAAAAAAAACAAATGTCCAACCTTTTTGTGGGTTGAGTCCTGTGGGCACAGTGAGAAGAGTGTGGGACCAGCAGTTAGCGTAATGGCTATCTCGCTGGACTCCCATGTAGTTGACCGCAGTTCAAGTCCCAGACCCGGCGGCTTAAACTCACGCCGGGTGCATGTGCGTGCGTGCCCAAGATCCTGAGAGAAGAATGGAGGAGAAGGGATTGCGGTGTAGCCATCTCCCCTGGGGGGTGATTTCTCGCTTTCTGTCTCTATGTCTCTCTCTGTCTGTCTGGCGAGCGCATGCGCCCTACAGTGAAAACCTCTCAAAAAAAAAAAAAAAAAAAAAAGAAGAGTGCACCTCATCAGCAGGGCACAGCCTCTCAGGGGGGAGTTTTGTCCCTTGGTTTAAAAACAATTTCTTTCAAACACAAAGCCAGAGGGGAGAAGCCAGGTTCTCTAGAGGCAGAAAGGACAACGGAGAAGACAAAGTTAAAATTCAGATGTCCCCGTCTGGTGAGAACTTCCAGTTAGGCCTTTATTAGTGACGGCACTCGTCTTGACTGGGGGCATTTAGACGAGTTAGGGCTTCAACTGTCAAGGCCGTGTTAGCCAGGCACAACCACAGAGACACAGCCACGCCTAAATCCCCGAGTTAGTGGAGGCCACGCGTGCACACAGCTCCTTCCGTGTGACCCTGCCAGGGCAGGCACTGGTCGTGGTGTGCTCACCCCCTGCCTCACCCGTGCATGGGCTCAGAGTCTTTGCCCTACACCTCCTCTCAGCTCAACAGGGCATGGGGCTGCTTCGCCGTCCTCCTCACATGACCTGTGGAGAATTATTCATAGTTTAAGGTGCTCCTTGGGGTGGCTGTTCCCTCTGAGGTGGCCCTTCTTGCCTCCCTTCCTTTTTGTTTCAACTTCCGTTAACCCTAGCGTCTTGCTTGACTACGTGGTAGGGAAAATGGCTGAGGGAAGCACTCAGCTGCATTGGAGGTGATGTGTTCCCTTTCACTGGAAGTTGTGGAAGGAAGCCGTGTGGGTGAACTTACACCAAACAGACCAACTGACGCCACACGAGTCTCTTGCCAGATGGTGCATTTCCTACAGGGAAACAGACCACACTGGGCACACAGCTCAGTCTTAAGAGTTTTATCTTTTTGGTCATTATATTTTGGCTGTGGTGCATGGTTTCTGTGGTCTATCAGGAACAAGGGCTTTCACAGGGCTCAGTAAGACCATCCATGAAAGGACTCCATGCTCCATTGGGAAGCTTTGGGGCAAAAATACAACCGATTTGGCTGTAGGGCCTATAGTAGTGTCAGCTTCAGCTGGTTAAGGAAGGGCCTAAAAACCAATCCCAAGGCTAAATAAAAGACCCAGGAGAAGGTGGGTCCAGATCCCTTTAACTCAAGCTGCATATAAATCAATAAGGGCTTCAATTCAAAGAAAGAAAGATGGCGCTCAGTACAGATGGTTGACTGCCCTCATGAGATGACTAAGCTGGCTCAAGCTGGTTTTTGAATGACTTCTCTACTTGGCTTTCCTCAGCATTAAGGCTTGCAGGGAAGAGAGTGCCCCAAACTCACCCACCTCCTGCCCACCCACGGCCACAGTCCCTTACCTTGGTGTGACCCGCGTGAGCTCATCTGAAGGATGCAGGATGCGGCAGGTGGTGAAGGTGAAGGTGGAGTTGGTCTGGGACATGCACTTCCCAGGGTGGTGTGCTAGATCGGGGGGAACAAAACATATTCCTTGCATCCAAGTATAACCACAACAGAAAGAAAATTCCAGCACAGCCGTCAACAGATGCAAGAAGCAATGAGCTACCTTGGGAACTGGATCTGGGCGAGGAAGGTGAAATGCGAATGTTCTGGTCTGAAGGCGGTCCCCCCAGAATAACCACAATTTTGAGCACTGGTCTGCAGAGCATCGAATTCCAGCCTCCAGCCCAATCCAGACAGGGTTCCTCATCGGTATTCTTGGGCCAGTAGTGGATCCAGTTCAGAGGGGCTAAAGGACTTGCAGGGGTAAATTGGGTTTTCCTCCTCAGAGGTCAGAATCAGCTTTCTTCTTTTGTTGCTTTACATTTCTTTTCACTGGCAAACAGTTGCCAAAACTCTGCCCAGAAGGGGAGAGGCATGGGCAAGGAGAGGCGCTTGGCACCTGAAAACAGGGCAAGGCTTGCATGGCTCCCTTTTGCTCACATGAAAAGGGGCTGGGGGTAGCTGGCTCCACTACTGTCTACCTGTGATTGTCATGGTGGGAGATGGGGGGCCTCAGCTGCCTCACCAACAACGTGGCTAGAGTTCCAGAGATCGGGGCTCTCTGGGGGGCTACAGTTCTTTGACTCAGTCTGGTCTGACATACAGAGGTATGGCTGCACTGGCCTCTTCCTGCCCCACCCTGCCCAGACGCTTGTTTGCCATCGTTAGAATAACTGATTTCTAACAAGTGGGCCTCAATTTATTTCCCTTTCATGGTCTAATAACCCGTTGTTGTGAAGGCAGCTGAAGGCTAGGGTCTGGAGCAAAGTAACTCACAAAAGGGTTAGACATGCATCAGAAGCTGGCAAAGAACAAGTAATAGAGTCCAGGGGAGACATCATGATTGTGGGGGTCAACTTCATTCATAACTCAAGCATCAGGGAGAGAGAAAAAACAAAAAAGAAAAAAACAAAAAAGGATGCTGTACCAAAGAGCATGCACACAGGGAGGATGATTTCCCACCCCACCCCACTCCAGCCCTCTGCCCCTGCAGCAGCTCAGTCCCCAGAGACCTCCTGGGAGAAAATGGATTAGGGTTCTCAGAGGCCATGAGGACTCAAAGGCTGGGAAGATTCAAAAAGCTGTGAACTAGAATCTTCTAGCTCTTTATGGTAAGTTTCCTCTTGGATTTGACAAAAAGGAAAAATAAAACAAAAACAACAGATCGGTGCCCCGGGCCTACAGATCCACACACAGTTGATTGCATCTTAAAAGAAAACCGGGAACCGGATGAAACAAACCAAAAATGGTTGGAGACACGCAAACTGAAGGCAGGCAAAACCAAGCCAGAGCACACACACAAAAAAATGGTCACAGTGACTAGCGGGACAAGCAAGACCAGTTTGCCCCAGCTGGTTATGGTCTGGCCCAGCTGTGTGTGTGTCACAGAGGGCACCTGAGGTCCCTGGCGTGGCAGCCAGCACCACAGCCACAGGAGCCCACTG